GGAGGGGAGGTGTCTGTGGAGAATACTAAACTGTTGTCAGATTGTCATTGTGCATGTATTAGTGTATGAGACACGGGCTTTTGGCTACGGCGCGCCGTTAGTGGGCACCTTGTGGCTGTCGGAGTAAAGCGGCATGGGAAAAAAAAAATGAAAATTGTGTTAAATTCCCTGGTAGCGGATGAATGATTTGAACTTCCGAGACACGTCCCGACAAGTAGGGAGGTAGTCATGGCAATGGTGGACGGCCGTCACAAGGGGAACGTCCACATTCACGGTCTCACGAGGAGCGAATTGCGCGCCTACTAATGCAGTCACCACACCCGCCTGGTCTCTGCAGTGCCCGAGAAAAAGGACCCTTATTTACGGACTCGTGACATCATCCTCCCCACCCCCTGTTTGGCCTCATCTAAAATGCTGTGTATTGCAACAAGGACCCTTATAGCATATAGGGGTTTGCTTCTGCAAGTACTAGACCTGTTGCATAATCATTTAAATGTCAGAAGTTGGCCCGGTTTTTGTTAATTCACAGTATCTACAAGTAAAGGCGCCTCCATAAGCGAAGCTCTCATTTGTAATATGTTTCAAACAAAGGCGCTGAAAGAACGCTTTGGTGTTCTGGGGAGGGGGGGGGAGTCCCACGCTGACAGCAGTGTTTTTTTCTGAGCGTGCTCCATACCCCCCTGATCCCAGCAGTCACGTGATTCAGCATCCATTAGAGCCGCATCACCTTCTTTGCTTCTATATGATGCAGCTGAATTCCCCCTCAGATCAGCTGGCTGCGACAGGCAGCATGAGAATCCATCCACGAGCCGGTGCTCCTGTGATGTGGCGGGGTCAGCCACAAAGCATGACATCGCTAAGAGATGAATAATGCAAATAATTTCAAGGAATACGGGTGTGTGTCTGTGTGGAGACAGCCCGATACAATGGTCCGTCTGACAGAGGTTTTCGGGATACAAACAGTACTTTAAAGTCTTTTTGAGTTGGCTCAGGAAAAAATTACGTGGTAGAGAGTCTCCCTTCGCCGAATTTGTTGATCTGTGTGGAAGAGATCGACAGCAAAGCTTTTGTTTTTTGGCGTACATTAGAGTCAGATGAATTAAAATGCATATCATTTTGCTTTACTGGCGTTGAAAAGCAACGTCAGTGACCTGTTACAGTGAAGCTGTAGCTGATATGGATTGTTTTAAGATGTGGGTCAGACAGGTCTTGAAAGGCAGCATGCCTCTGTTTTGGAATATATATATATATTTTTTCCCTCTCCTGCGCTGAGCTGAACTTGAGCCTGTTAGAAAGCAGCCGTTCCAGATTTCAGCACCAGGGACAGTTCCCATGCATCCCTCCCCTCCCTCCCTCCCCCTCTGCCTCCAGCGGCCCTGTGTCCGTCTGAAAGGAGGGCTGACTCACTCGTTTACAGCAATGCAGCCTCATCATCTGTCTTCATCCCAGTCTCACCCCCACACCCTTTTTAACCCCCCCTCCCAAAGATACACCTTTCCTCCATGTTCTGTACCTTCTGGCCGCCTCACTAGCGGCTCGTTTTGTTTATTCTTTCATTGAGGTGATAACGTAGATGAAGGAGCTCCTGCGTTTGATCGCTGCAACGCTCCAGACTGTTGAATATGCAGGAGCAGACCTTTACAATGAGGGAGACACGCGGGTGGGGTGGGTGGCTTTTTTCTAAGTATCCAATCATAACAAAGGCCCTAAGGCCACGGGCCAATAAGGGAAGAGCTGCTCCGAGATGCATTCCCATACACTGGACAGGATTTAATGAATGTGTGAGGCGAAAGTCGATTTTCTTGGAAACAGGAGGCTTCTCTTGTGACGCCTCTGCATCAGAGTTACAGTAGAGCAGGTGACGTGTTGGTTCAACAGCCTCATACAGTGCGGATGGGATTATGGAAGAAGGCGTCTGCATTGGAAAGTGGAAAGCAAGGGTTGTTGTTGGTGATGGTTTATGCAGGGAAGAGACAAAGAGATACAGTACAACACATAGTCCATTGAAGAAGTATTCAGATCCTCTACTTCAGTTAAAGAACCAGTATATTATTGTACTACAAGCAAAGCCCTATTTGTGCCTCAAACAGTTATTTAAATGAATCCAGCTGAGACATTTAGGCGAGAAATCTCTCTTTTGGTGGAACAGTCAAGGGGCACCACTTGTTTAATCATGTGTTGTTGTTTTTTTTAACCAGTAGCAGCTAGAGCAGTAAAATTAATGTAGTGGAGTTAAAAGTACAATATGTCAGGAAAGTATTAAAATAGCATAAGATGGAAATACTCAATTGCAACATTTTCAGCCTGTAATGGAACGTGGTCTGAAGTCCCCCACCGCCGCGTTTACTTGACCGCCTCAGGGTTTGCAACAGACCATTATTTTTTATCAATTCATATTTTTAAAAGTAATAATAAGAAAAGAAATGGCCATCAACGTTTCTCAAAGCCCCGAGATGATGTTTGACCAACAATCCAAAACCCAAAGATGCCATTTAAAACAGTAAACCCTCACTTTGGCAATTTTGTCTGACAAATGACTGAAACAAATAGTTGCAGATTCATTTTTGATGACTAGTAATTATTGTAGCTGTACACAGCTTTAGCATTCAATAACACAACTACTGACGGTGCTAAATGTGTTTATTGATGTCCAGCAGCTGGACTTCAACAAATCCGTCCCACAAATAGAGCAGGACAGGCGGCCTCACACAGCATTTTAATAATGCCATATTATGCCAACATGAAAACGTCTCAGTCGGAGAACCCGCCGCCTCGATATCGCCAAGCACACGCGATTCACTTCACTGCCGCTCCTGCTGCTGCACCTCCATCTTGAACCAAACCAAGCAGGACAGGATCCCATCTTGTTCCATTAGTTCTCATTGGCTGAGCCTTCCACAGGCTCCATACCGGTGTGGCATCCCCGCTGACTGCCGGAGCCGACCACAAGGTCTCCCCCCACAGTCCATCCGTCCGTTCTCTCCTCATCCTGAAGGCTGTAGGAACAATATATCAGCTTGACTTTGTTTTGTTCTTTTGGTGCAAAATGTTTATTGCCTATTCAATCGTTATTATTGCCACTCAAAAGGTAGTAACTTGGAGGGAATGAGGTATGAGTGTATGGTAGGAGGGTAGAGGAGATCAAATTAGAAAGCCTTCTGTGCTTCAGCGGAGAGGGAGCGCCAATTGATTGTGATTGCATTCTTAAAGAAAAAAAGAAAAAAGCATCCTTTAAAGGTTGTTTACTCAAATTCAATCCACATTCGGCGCTTTCTCGCCGGGCTATTACGGCGAATACACACACGTACTGTAAGTTGTGCAGGATGCGCTGTCGCTAATTGAAAATCACCTCCTGGCATCTTTCACATCTCCTGCAGCTCAGAAGCAGTGTTCTTGTATGCTGGTGTGTTTTTCTCTCCGCGTCGTATTTGTTTTACCGTGTAGCCGTCTCGGCACTGTTCTCATTAGTCCTTTGTCCACATCCGTGCTCGAGGCGCACATAACGAGGCGACAAGCCGGTCTTCGCCACTCGCCCACGAGCAGGCTTCATCGGGGTTAACTTTATCCCCACGCCCCAGACTTCTCTGTCTCTGAGAGGTCTTTTCACACTAAAGGAGCTTTGGTGTGTGTGTGTGTGTGTTTGTGTGTGCCTTTAAAGAGATGAAGGGATTTACAGTGATAATTACGATGACCTGTTTAGATATGCATACCTTTTTTCTGTTGATATGCATTGTAGTGGGGGGAAAGGGGGCGATGACAGACTGCGATATCAACAGAGGAGGGGTGATGCCTTGTGCTTGTG